TAGTAAAATTAATACCTTCTCAGCTTCGCATCGAAGCTAAAATAATTAGATATAAAAGTGACGTCATTTAATATATTTAATCATTTTAAAAGGTAATTTTAATTGAATAGTATACCTTATAAACATATTCATGTATATCATTTAAATATTGAGCATCTAAAAAGAATTAGATATTAGTCACTAGTAAATTGGGATTAAACTTGACATCCATAAAATTGTCTTTTTTACTATTGTGTTTGACAGCTATATGATAAGCTGCTTCTATACTGGTAGATATTTTCTAGGAAAAACACTACTAGTTTATTTTAAATAATTTATTTTGATTTTGTCATAAAAAAAATTCACAAGAAGATTAAACTTAATTTCAAATATTAAAAAAATTTATATATATGTATTATTTATAAATAATAAATAAATCACTCAAATAAATGAAATTAAAATCAATTTTATGTAAGCGATTTGGAAAAATGTTTAAACGATAATATAATAACTGTGTCTTATTACAATAAAATAAAACATTTGCTTTCCATCAAATATTCTAATGACTCAAAAAATAATAACAAATTTGACGGGTCGAAATTAAGACTATACAGTAATGACAAAGCAAATTTTATTTCATTCTTTAAAAATACTTGGTGGGATACAAATTTAAAAAATTGTCAGGAGCTTGTAAATAATTTAAAACTAGAACTTTTGATGTATATCAGGGTGGATCAAAGAATATCGTATATTTTAGCTGATGTATTAATTATAAAAAAAAGCTATGAGTTATTAAGATTAGTGAACAATTTTTTTCTATTTATAATATACATAAATGTCAACCGAAGTGCGTAAAAAAAAAATTTAATTTTAAGCTTACTTGACATCTACCCGAAATATACCATATAATGACGCTAATTATGGTATCCACGCTATTAATTTTCGACTTAAAATTTTTAAACTAAAAAATTTGTATTTTACAGTAAAAATCAAACTATATTGATATACTAATCATAAGATTTGACGAAAATCTGAATAACAGAGGCCGTTTTTTGTTTTTTGGGGTATTTTTGGTCAAAATACTAAAAACACGTTAAGCCACCAGTAAAAATTTAAAAAAAGTAAAAGTTTATTAATACAATAAAAAATTTATCAAGCAAACAAACGTTTTCTTTCAGTAACAAAAATGTGATAAGTTTTAACATCAAAAAAATTTTTCAGCTGTATTTTTTTTCAGTGTATATTATTACCCTAATTTATTCTATTCTATAAATTATTTTTCAAAAGAATCATCTTAAATTTATTTGGTTTCAAAATGGTTTAAGTTATACTATTTGGGGCTTATCACTAAATATTTCATATAAATATTTATTTATAGTATTTATAAATTATATAAAGTATATGCAATTTGACGTATCACCCTCAATTTTTTTTTATATGTTTTGAAGTACTTATTATTGAATTAAAAATGGTAATATCTTACTTTTTTTTTATAGGGATATCGTACTGTAAGAATAATTGTGACACAAATGTTTAGGCTATTAATATTAGCATTTATAATAAGCTGATATCAATTTATTTATGATTTAGAGTAAAATAATAAACACTAAACAGTTTGGCCATATTTAAAAATTTTATTTATTTAATGATAATAAGTCATCTTTCGTCATGCGTTAACTTGCCCCAGGTTACGTTAATTATTTAAATGACCAAAATATTCTATTAATATTTCAATATATAGCTTTATTTTTGAAATTCCAAAAATTTGTTTTAGTAAATGAGTTATGTGTTATTACGTTCAAACAGTATTGAATAAATTAATGTATACTATTAGAACATTAAACTGTAAATCATAAAAAAAAAATTAAAGTCAGTAGGGATGCAGTCAAGTAGAAGCATTTTTTAGATAAGTATTAATTTATATACAACAGTGTTTAAAATCAATGTTATTAAACGATTCTACACGTATTTGAAACATATTAAAAAAATATATTATATACATTCTAAAAATAGATGGTCTTTGACTGTGGAGATTAATTACGCATAGGAAGATAGTTATGGGATTGTTTTTTATTTAAAATTATGTATTACATTCAACGAATTTCAATTTTATATAATTTAGAATAATACTGTAATGAATGATCCAAAAATTTGCATATCTCAACATGATTTTTAATATATACATTAATTTTACATATTAAGTAGTGTAGTTTTGACATAAAATATAAAAAATTTGTGTATACAAATTCAAATTTTTAATACTATTTATTAAAATTTCCCATTAAATTGTATGTGTTAAATTTGCCAATACGTATACGTAAAAATTCTAACATTACTTTTATAAGTCGATGTAAGTATTCAGTTTTAGTTACATTTACATACAAAATATTACAAAATGGGCTATTTTTTTCGAATATCGTATGATTATTTGCTTTAAAGTCCGATAGCTTCTAGAAATCGAGATAGTTTTTCTTTTTCATTATAAAGTACATTGTGTTATCTTTTATTTAATGTATCTTTAAACTTATAATTATTTTACGTTTTTCATTTAAAAAAAAATTCCCTTATCCCTCATTCATTTCCTTTTCAATTGTGCCAACTTTTGTTTTTTAAATAGAAACATATATACTTAACTAACGTACAATTAAAACGATAATCTAGTATAATCTAAAATAATCGTTTGATAGAAATTTTAAATTTTAAAATTTATTTTTTATGTTTTATACTTATAAAGATAATGCGTGATTCGTAGTTTTCATAATAAAAAATGTTCTGTATAATAATCCTGTTGACATAGATAAATTTCCACTTATGTGTACATCAAAATTAACATAAATCATCATCGTGGTTTAATTTAAACAATAAATTTTTTATACTTTAAACAATGATGGTAGTAAAATTATTAAAAAGGTAAAGCTGTTTAACGTCATTAACAAACTTTAACTGACAATTGCCTAATAAGTGTACTACATGTGCTTTATTTAATAACGCTTAACTTATATAATTATAACGGAACACCTAAAAAGTTAGCATATTTTTTTTACTATTTAAATATTTTTCTAAAATTATATATTCATTATATTGATATAGTAACTTTTCTAATAAAATTTTAACTATTGTACATTTTTTTCCTTGTTTATACTATTTATTATTAATCTATTTATCAATAATATCTACACTGAAAAGATATGCCTGTGTAAGAAAGGACGGGAAAACTTGTATAGCTCAGCGCAACGGAATCGCACCCCCATAACTATGCACCAATGCACAACACATATTTTACTGAACTAAGTAGGCAATCTAGTGAAATAAATAGTTTTATTTTGAGAATAATAAAATTTATAGCTGAGAATTCACTCAACCAGTAGTATCTAGTTGACGAAATTACCCTAAGAATTTGATAGAAATTCCTATATTTCCTATTTGTAGGGTAAACTTAAAAAAAAATAATATCATTATAATATTTATATAGTTTTGTTTTATATTATTTAAAATATTATAATCTGTTTAATAAACAAAAATAATAAGTAACAATGATTACAACACAAATATTTATTTTCATATATACATATATGTTGATTTCGGCATAATATTACTAGGTATATATAGTGTTAATAAATACTAATGAATATAATTCAAGTGTGTTATGAAAATTTGTTTTATTTTAAATTAATTAATATAACATTAAAAAAAATTATTTTTCTTTATTTCTAAATTATACTTAATAATTAGAAATTAAACTACGGTAAGTAAGTTATGTGGTTACTCTAATGACTTAAAATATCATCAATAAAAAC